TATACCTTCTCTTAGGAGACAGAAAGGGACAACTATAGTTGTCTCTTTTAGTCTTTTAATAATTGACAACATTGTGTTTAAAGCGGGCTCATCTTTGACTAAAATATAGAACAGCTATTGTGCGATTGTCAATTGTTTCGCAGCCAATTCAACTGTTTAGTTACAAAAGTAATTGAGTAGTGTGCACACCTCTATATCAGCTCATAGGAATCAAAACGAGATAATAATTGTTTTAGTAGTTTAGTTTCAGAGCCACATTCTCTTAATGTAATATTCTTTACAGGTTAGCCAACATCGGTACAATGCGGTGTCTCAGGAAGTTAGGACTTAGCATGTTGAAAGCTAGACCGAGTAAGTTACATTCTCTCATGCAATTAATTGCCTAAACGTCAATGGTAGCACTAACACTCGTGCGCAGGTATAGAGAGCGCGTGGGTGGGAGCGAAGGGCAACCTTGGACACTGGACGTGGATCGACTCCGGACTCAGCATCTTCCAGATGACCACCTACACCGACATGATGTCCGACATCTGGCCGCCCATGAGGTAACATTAACAGTGGTAGAGCCTTGCTTTAACATCTCCGCACTTTAGGACTCGCTTGGTGCAATACCACGACCACATAGACAGACGTGAAGTTATAGCAATTCCACGTTTCGATTGATGTTTGTGTGCATAAAGCCTAATTTCAGTCTCTATCCCTTTCTATATCTTATAAGTCAAGGGTAGAAAGGGAATGTGGATTTAAGGGCAGATAAGACGCATAGGAAGGGGAAATATCCTTTATGTGCGTCTTTTTTTTTGCAATTGCAGCGGTCGCATTGCTTTATTGGTGAATTCATATGGTCACTCGTTGTTGCTACCTTAACATATAAAAAAAACAATGTGAAGGGTAATTAAATCTTTTAAAAAGACGATGGTAGAATTTATATTTCATGAATAATTAGTTGAAATCATCTGGGCATTTTAATATCAATACACTCAAAGGAAGTTAGTGTTTTCTGAGTGCGTAGTAGATATTGATCTAAGTATTGTGTTATCAGAGACAGGTCTACGATCAAGCAGAGCGGCTGCCTGCAGCTGGACCGGCACACGACCAACGACCCCGTGTTCCTCGAGGCGCGCTGCGAGCGGAGAATGCAGTTCATATGCTACAAAAGTAAGATTTTTCACACAACAGGACACTACTTTTTCCAATAAATAGTGGTCCACAGTTTGTATGTGTTTATATCTAGTCTCGTTTCAATTGAAAGAAATCATGAAAATTAAGAAACTGGGATTAAACTATCGCACAACTGTTGTACGATTGTCGATTGTTTCGGGATCAATTCAACTAAAAATCGAGTAGTGGTACCTCCATATAAGCTTATAGGAATCATAGCAAGACTAAACAGTTGTGCGATTTTTTAGGCAAAGTGCGAGCTCTTACACTTGGTAGGTATTATGGCAGGTACTATTTAGTTTTAATGTAAACAGTAAAGAGTTACTGCGCGGTTTACACTTGGCCATTCCAGTAAGCGCTTTATAACTGGATTGTCAATCGATTGGGACAGTGTTAAATTATACCAATAATACAATCTATGAGTTTCTATTGCAACAAGTAAGGCTTTTGATTGGAACGAGATATATGAATACAGTGTGTGTTGATAAATGTTTATGCTAGCTGTACTAAACAATTTAAATACGTGTGCACAATAACGATATACCAATCTAAGATTACAATAGTCAATTTATAGATCAGTTATAAATATTTCATTTTATTGTTCACATTTGTTAAATTATCAATTGCAAATGTCAAAATGACATGACATGATGTCAAACCATGGCAGCCTTGATGTTGGCAACAACTTATGGTCTCTTTCCCACATTAGGGTTTCTATCTAAAATATTTACCTCAAAGTAACGGCGAAAAATATATAGTCTAAAGTGTGACGTAAGTGTAGGGCCTTTTATTAAAAAAAGAGTAATTCGAAATTATGCTGTGATTGCTGACATCTTAGGCAACAAAGAAGTGTGTGTTTACGCCTTACGTTAGGTCACTTGTATTTAAATATTTTTGTCCTTAATCCAAAGATAATGTGTAGTATGTTGTTATACACTGTTGCAGTTAAATTAGTAGTACAGTTAAGCGTTTATTTTCAGATCTGACTGGTTTGTACAGGCCCTCAGAGGCGATGATTTCGCGCGCGCATTACCAGTTAGGGCCGCCGGATGAGAGTGAGTGCCTCTGTGTTTGCGCGAATACCCAAGGCACTGTTTTATATCCTGTGCAGATTCTCGCCTAGTTACAGTAGAACAACGTTTATTAAGTCGTTTGTTGTGTAGACACGGTGTTTTTAATGGAGGAGTACAAAAATAGTGTCTATGTTTGCGCAAATACTTACGACACTATTACGAGTGTGCAGTAACATGACGGCTAGTTTCTTGTCAAATTGCTGTGATGAACAGTCTACAGTCATGTTATTGTGCACGAGTAGCGGTATTTAGATTATAGAGAATTGTTGTAACGTAACAAAGGATATTAACATTATTATTATAACAATTACAATTAAATATGTTTATTTTTTCTGTTGTACGAATGTTTTCAGGCGTTCCCGGAATGCGGCGACCGATTCCGATCCCCAGCGACGACAACTATTACTACATATTGGTGCGTCAGCTCTACTACTGGCAGCATGCATATGAGAACTGCCTCAAGTTGAACGGAACGCTCGCCAGCATCGATAGCAACGAAATTCTGGTGCAGTTGCTCCTTGTTATGGGAGAAAACAAGGATGAACGTGAGTGATTCGAAATTTTTACGCCATCTAGTGTCGAAAAGAATTAACAACATGAAAGGAACGCCATCTATTTTAAATTTTAGATATCAGGAAGGTACTGCCATCTAGTATTCAATTATTAAACTAAGAACAAGTAGCGACATCTATTGCCGAAAATTCATAAGTAGTACCATCTGTTATCCAGTAGATCAATTAACATCATTGTGCATCTAGTGTCTAATTGCAGATTAAGTTTCTTGAACCACAATGAAATATAGGAAATTAGAAAATCTAAATTTTACTTCGGATCACAAAATTTTGTTACGATGAAGTAACTTAAATGGGTATTATATTCGCTATAAATAACTTTATTTTATGCAGCCGTTGAGCACATTTGGATCTCCGGTCGGCTGAACATGACGAAGGACCCCAACTCGGACCTGGTGACATACGCGTGGCAGAACCCAATCACTGGCAAGAGGATCCCTGACTCTAAAAGCGAAGGGGAAGCGATGTTCGCGTCTTTTGTAAGTCATCATCATCATCATCACCGTCACTCTGTATCAGTCCCCTGGACATAGGCCTCCCCGATGCCCACAGCACGCAGACCACCGCGCACTGCACCCCGGGACTCCCTGCCGCCTCCACAAGCCCGCCACTGAACCCGGCATGACGGCGGCTTCAGACTCTCCTCCCCAAGATAATACTCCCCCACATGAAGTCGGTACCTCTTCGTATGTGAGTAAAAAATATAGTTGGCCCTTAAAGCTCACTAGAAATTCAGTTTTAACTGAAAAGACGAATTGTTCAGTTAAAACTGTGTGTAGAGCGGACTAGAGATGAATTTCTGCTCAATACAAGGTATGGTATCGCTGGACTTTACTATATAACATAGTTGAGACCTCTAACATCCATGACATTATTCCCATCTTCGTAATTTTTCCACTTTAATTCAGTACATCTTTTTAGATAGAGATGTCGGCTTCTAAATTTTATAGTTAAAATATTCAATATCACTTCTCAGTTGCCACCGTGGCTGGATGAAGAGTTCTCCATGGACAACCCTTGCCTGAACTTGGACCGTCAGGATCATCTCAACGGCTTGGTATACGGCATGTCCTGTGATACTCCACAATACTCCATTTGCATGATCGGTAAGATGTTTTTAATTTTAGAAATCAAAGAAACAATATTTGAACATAGAATACATAGTACAAAAAAAGGCAAAATTTTAAATAAAACTGAGTTTTGATTCAATTTTTAGGACTGCCAACCTGTCAACAAAACTACTTGGGTACAATTTTTTTTTTTATCTTGGCATCAATATGCATGTTGTTTCATTTTATTGAAAATTTATTTAAATAATCAATTTTTAATCTGTGTATCATCTCTACTGCATAGTTACTATTATGAGATTTACCTGTAACTTAAAATTTGTTATTTTGTTACAGAAAAATCCCCGACAAAGACTGGATCCAAAGAGAACTTGATAGAAGGGAATTATTCTACCTAACATTGTGTTCACATTAGTGTTGATTCTCCTCCTGCTGCAGAACATACAGAATTTATTTAACTTTCAATGAACATAATAAAACTGTTCAACAATGTTACTTTTTAATTTATTTCCGAATTTCTAAGATTCCACAGACTGCTCTAAATTAGTCATGTAGAAAAAGAAAATATTTAATCTGTACTTGTACAGCTTATAAACATTAGTATTAGAATTACATAGAAAATGCTAACGGATAGAATTACATAGAAATAACTAATAGAAAGGGGATTATAACAGATTTGTAGTAAAGATGAGACAATATTATTAAATCGATGTATTTATTCTTATTGCTTATATAGCTTAAATATTAGATTTCTATCACATTATAGAATTACAATAAAAATTACAATTTTATAATAAAGAAAACATGACCCCTTATGTACTATATATTTGTTGAGCTACAATTGGGACTTAAAATTATAATTGTAGAAATTAATTAACTCATAATTTTATCTCATTTCTTCATTGTACGAATCGTTTCTACCCATTGCTCGTTAATATTCGTAAGTTGGTTACAATTTTCATTTAAAGTCATAAGATTTTTTTTGAATGTCCGAATATGTTCCAAATAAGCGCGTAAACTTGCGTTCATTGCACGTACACTTTCTATTTCTTGCATTAGTTCAGCTGCGTTCTGCAATACGGAATTTTGTATTAGTTTTGTGTTCAATTTTCTCTAACTGTAAACAATCTTGGTACAATTTTAGATACTTGTTCGTACTTCGCCTTTGTTAGAATTAAACGATTTAGTTGACATTTTGCGTTACAATAAAATACACAAACGTATGTTTTATCCTAAATAGTAACTTAACGCCGTTTAATAACTTTGTGATAATTGTAACTCACTAATTTAAGTTATAAAAATTGAAATCAATTGACAACAACAAACTTTTAAATTTCATTTTTAATTTTTCCGTTGGGCAACCAAATAAAGGTATATTTGTCATACAGCCAGCGTATCTATCAAGGTGGAGCAAAAATTATATCTTTGTGTATTTACCGTTTACACTTAAAATACAGCATAAAAGTCCGTACATATTAATAAGAATATGAAACATTTAAAACATTTATCAATCTTAATTTGCTAATTTATTGACTTTCTTAGATTCGTGCACTGTCAAAACGCATGCGCTGCGAAAATAGCGCCATCTATAGTCAAACCTATTCGAGCAGAAAATAGGAGAATGTCCGCCATTTTGACATTTGTTTAGCTTTGTGTTCTGCAACAAAATCCATCATGTAATATCGAATTAAATGCTAACTCAGCTAAAAAATCAGTGATTTCATTAGTACAGTGATGATAATTACAATAAACTTAACACTAATCCAGAAGATATATTTCTGCTGAGTGGCGCATAAATCAATAATGAACCAGTGCCGCTTTTTCTATTTTCGCGTTTGTTAAAGTTATTTTCGTTTTCCATCGATAAAATGTGTTTTATTTTGTAGCAATAATATTTAAATCATTTATTTATTTGAATGAATATACAAAATAGCGTGAAACTGAAGAAAACATTTTTGTGAAAAAAAGGCGCGAAGATTTTTGCCGCGCCGATTTCTAGGAGCGTACGAAATAAACTATTTATTTCTTTAAGAAAACATTTTATCTTCTGTGAAATTCTCTGTGCATCCAAACTTGAACGATGATATTTTTACTTTCAATAATACCTTGTTTACAATATTCGAGGCACATATTTTGGTAAAAGCTGAGAGTTCATGTAAGTGTTGATTAGAGCCATCTCAACATATTTTCCATTTTTATGTTGTCTTACTTATTAATTGATGTATTTCAGGTTAAGTAACCTATTTATCTTGCGATGCGGCTAAGAAGTCGAAAAAGGGAGCGACCGCTCCCAATAATTAAGAAAGCCAAAACTGCTAAAACTCGAAAATTTAAAGACAAGTCAACTTGGAGGAACATTTTAAGACGTACGGCAGCGAGAAATGAGTCGGTCCAACTTAGTGCATCATTGCTTACTATCGGAGCTAATAGGAATTTAAAAACAAAGCCAGTGAGGATCAAAACAATAATGGAAAGATCAGGGCAAGTGTTAAGTAAGAAGCAAAAGCTGAAAGACGATCCAAAGAAGCCGATCTTCCAGACAGTTGTACGAAACTCTATGAAGGATGTATCAAGTTTGTCAAAAACAAAAGCAATCTCAGAGAAGGTGCCAACATCTAAAATAAAAGGAAACGATGTTCGTTCAACGAAAGGTGTTCAACTGCGTCATAGTTCATTAAATCGTGAGCTGATTCGTTCTGATGTGACCGCTAACATCTCACCTCGGAAAACAAGACGTATAGATAAGACGGACAAATCAGCATCGTTGAACAGCTCACCGATACGCAAAGTACGTCAATTAGGAATACCATCGCAGAAAGTTAAAACATTGAATGCGAAAGAGAGTCCTAAAAAGAAATGCAAAGCTAAGGAGTCGTTTCCCGAAAATAATTGGAATAGTATGGATGATGTAACTATGTATGAACCACATACAACAACAAATGATATAGTTAAAGAAGATTCTGACTCGGAAACACAAGTAGAGTCATCAGAATTATGTCTGCCAAATGATTGTTTAAATGACTTCATGGCTATCGCGGAATGTGCGAGGTTGATTAATGAACGATTACCAGCTGATGATGAGGATATAAACTTCTTAGCTGATAAAGCAGCCAGGGTGATGACTACGGAGAAGGATGATGAAAAGAAGTTACCAAGGAAGAACTCTGTGGATAAAAGGCTGATGAAACGCAGGAAGTCTAGTAATGATTTAGAGATGTATCAGCCGACTTCGACCACTGATGATTTAGATGTATGCACCAGTTTCCTGACTAATGGAGAAAAGTATGTACAGGTATGTATAAGTATTTTACAATAATAATGATATAAGCTGTCAGTTTAAAAACCAACTTTAAAACAGTCTAATAATTGAATAATGTGTTCTCTTAAATATTTTATTAGTTTATCGAATAAAGAGAATAAACTATATAAACTGTTAATTCAAAACTTGGATAAAATAATGCAAATCTCTACTTTTATACTAATACCAATGATTTATATTTTTGTACTAGCTGTTCCCAAGCGTCTTCATCCGCATAAAATTATAAAAATTTCTTTTTATTGTTCACATTTGTGAAATTATCCATTGCAAATGTCAAAATGACATGACATGATGTCAAACCATGGCGACCTTGCTTTCTTGATGTTGGCAACAACTTATGGTCTCTTTCCCACATTAGGGTTTTTATCTAAAATATTTACCTCCTAAGTTGTGAAAATATGTAGCCTAAAGCGTGACGTAAGTGTAGGGCATTTCATTAAGAAGGAATTATTCAAAAATATGCTGTAATTGCTGACATCTTAGGCAATAAAGAAGTGTTTACGCTTTATAGTATAGATAGATGTATTGGAAAAACTCAAAAACTACTCTGCCAATTTCAAAAGTTTTATTACTGAGTAACATAGGTTATATTTTTTAATATTCAAGTAATGGAAGTTGTGTGTAAATGTAATGTACATTGTGATACAGCCGGACTTTGTATCCATGCTGGAGGAGGGCTATGTGCGAGACCCGGAGTGTGAGATCTCCTCCACTTGTGGGGATGCGCCCGGCACCGCTATAGAGAGCCTGGAGGCGCTCTCCGCAAGGAGCCCTAGCACCGGCTTCCTAGCTGAGATAAGCCAAAGTCTTGTTGCGGAGGCTGAGGGATGGGTATGTATTTTATTTATAGCAATTTACAAGTAACTTAAATATGTAATAAAACTTTTTTTCACTCATGATTCAGTCTGTGAAAAAAACTAAAGGATGTAACCCATGTGTTTTTTCAGATCCTCTAAATCTATGCCAAATTTTGGTAAAATCTGTTCAGCAGTTTATGCTATCAACTCTAAAAAACATCCATCCATATAAACTTTCGCATTATTTAGTAAGATAATTGAAAAGACTGACTTATTAAAAATTCGACCAATAGCTACTTTTTTAATTTTCTTTACAGAATGGCACAGAAATTGTTCCCGATGATTCTAATATGGTCTGCCATGATGAACAATCAGCTAATGTGGAGGT